AAACGAGGTACAAAGTTTACTTCATTAGAATTTGAATGATGACGAAACGAATTTATATACAAGAATTATTATCTTTTTATAACGATCTTTGCCAAAAGAGGATTTGTTACAAAATTAGAGCATTATTCATAATTTATTTGTGTATTGTAATAATTGTAATTATCAATTGTACAGTGGAAAAAATTAAACAAAACAATATTATAGAATCATTAAATTGTTTATTGAAGTAATCGTTCTTTCAACCAGATACAGATAAACACTTGAATTAAAAACTAATTCTGTCGCAATCGCCTCCTGAAAATTAAAAAAAATAATATAAATACCAGGTGTTTACCATCTATAAGGTTTAGCAACATCTGGCTCAGTTTAACTGTAGAGAGGACTATAGGTAGTTGCCTAATTAAATCTTTCTACGTTGGATTGTTTTTCTTCAAAACGATATTCATCTTAAACTTAGTTTCTGTTGGCGTTTAATTTCCGTTATAGTGCCTATAATATAACCCACCTAATTAATTCCCTATACCTACATCCGTAAAATATGAAACTTTTTGTTTTTGTAATCGATTTCAATTTCAAAGTAAACTGCTCTGCGAAGTGTTAGTGATCCGCGGTTTGATAACGTGTGCAAAGTGTAGCAAAATAGAAAATTCCATCGGATCGTTCCTCCTCAATTTACCACACATGAATAAGTCACATCGTATGTAATAAGGTTGCACGTGACATGCATTCAGACGATACCACGTGTCGGCGAGTACTTACACCTGGGTACTATACATAATAATATTATATGATTATGATTTGAACACGTCCTAATAGTCCAATACCCATAGTCCTATATCCATCATGGGGTATAGTGTTTTACCGTAGCACGGCATAGGGTGAAATTAAACGGCAAGTTTATGGAATGAGTAAACTTTATCCCAAATTAAACATTATATACCTTATGGGCTTACCGCGAATAGGTACTGCCTACAACTCTGCAATATTTAACATTGTACACGCATTATATTATATAAGTTGCATATTATTATACACAAATAATAAACGGTATCCGGACGGAAATACAATCACCGACACCTTTGACCCCGCAATTAAACTTACAGCCTGACAATATGAGAAGTTATTGTAATATTCTATTGTAAACGGTTGTGTTTTATTGAAACTACATCGACAACTTACAACCAATAAGCAATAATATAACACAAGTCTATAATAACTAATAAGTCTATGGATTTAAATTTTCCTAGTTGCCTGCCAAGAAAATATAAGAATGACATGAAGCTATTTAGCTATTGAATAAGACATAAAAAAAAAAAATTAGATTATATTGAAAGTTTGTTTTTCCAAACGAACAACAACATAATATAAATTACATATTATAATAATTCAAAAGGTTTATAAACATGTTGAAATAATGATATTTAAATCATATTAAAATATTAAATTATACAGTACCTATATTGTCGCCATACTTACCTACCTACGTTAACTGTATATTATATAATATTGTTGGTTAAAATGTTCTCTAAATCAAAGGGACTGCACTTTTTTATACATATTTACTTAAAATCCAAACATCAACCAATACATTAGAATTTAGAAGTATAATTTGTTTTTATATTATACTATGTATACAGTAATCTGTATTTGTTATAATAAATTTGTAAAAATGAATTGCAATAACTTATTACAATTATTATAATACATTTTCTTACAGTTGCTTAAATCATAATAATATTACTCTGAATAAGCAAATTAAAAATAACAAATCAACAAATTTATCAATGCCTTGAAGATGGTGTTATTTAAATAATTGTTAATACAAATGTTTTAATTTTTTTCCAAAAATCAGACTAGCTTACATGACATAAATATTATATTCTTATTTTGAGTATGAATTGTATTTAATAAGTATTAAGAATTATTTCTAAAAATTATAATAAATTGTACAATCATAACAATCAAACACTTTTTTTTTAAATTCTTTAATTTGAAATAAATTATAAAACATAGCATTTATAGGAAGAGTATCTTATAAAAAGAAGTTTATAATAATAAATGTATTTATGTATCAAGTATTCTCCTACTATTAAATGCTTCCTAATATTTTGACAACATACTTAATATAAATTGTCAAATTAACAATTATTTATAGTGAGTGTACAGAAAAATTGTTTTTAATGCATTTTGTAAATATCCAATAGTTTTCGACAAATATTTTTATTTTTAATTGTACCTAGTTTAGTTTTATTTTTTTCCCCTTGAAGATAAAATTATTTATTGCTTTGCTTTTATTTCAAGTTGTTCTAATTGGACTCTTTCCAATATTAACTGAGGGTATATTTTTATTTTTCTATGGTAGTAACTAACTCGATTATAATCACTATAGTTAATTTACGTTTCTAAAAATTTAATATAATAGTGACCAAATCTGAAAGTAGTTATTATATTAAATTTATACTTTAAATTTAAGTTTAAAAATTATATTCGATGTTAAGGCTATTTTACAGTTTTTTTTGGGAGGAAAAAATATATTTATCAATTAGATCGAAGCATATTTTTCTATTTATTACCGAACCATTAAAACAACTGTATATATTATAATAAATTGAAAAGTTTTGTATTTGTGGAGGAAAAAAGATAAATAACAAAATTGCTAATTTTATTATAAACCAAAGTATCTGCCACTTGAAATTTTAAATCTCAATTTTATTTAAAATAAATTATTCAATATTTAAGGCATGTCTTATTGTTGTTGGGTCTTCTACGTCTCTGATTTTAAATATATTATTTTAAGTTAGGTATTGATTTATATTTAAATATTTAAATATTCAAAGCTAAATGCTCATTTAAGTATATTCATTATTTGTTATGATTGTCATTTCAAGTATAAATAATGCAATCAATTGTTCATTTGGCTAAAAACAAATAGTGATCGAATAAAGTAAAATTTATTCAAACATAAATTAATCCAATAAAAAATATTTTTAGTCATTATTTGAAAGAACCTGTATGGCTATAGCTACCTATCTACTTGTGTTTATAGACATTTTTTTATGAATAATATTTATAATTAATGTAAGTTATAATTATTGAATTATAAAATATAATATATGCGTTATAAAAACTTCAGTATATATTTATTTTGACTAGGTACCTCGACTTCAAACATAATTATGCCTTACAGAGGATACCAGCACAATATTTGTTTTTCTATAACCCTCGCAATGTAGACAAAACGCATTCACGCAGTGTCCTGTTTTTTTTTTATGTTTTTGAGTTATCATCTTAGAGTAAAATCATCAATTATAAAAATTACGAAGAATAATATTTTTGATGGTCATATCGGTTTGTCTAAATATTGTCATAAAACAATTTAATGTCCATTTAAATTAAGATATTTGTTTGTTTATTTTTCGTAAAGTCTAATATAAATTCAAACAAAATTAAATATAAAATTTGTATATATCTATTTGATTTTTCATGATCTTTATTCAGCTATATTTTACTGTTGCATTTTGCTTATAATCGTAATAGTTTCAAAACTGTTCAAATTGTTTAATTCAATATTGCACTGTTATCGTTCACCTTAATTTATGTACTTTCACATATATTTTGTAAATCATTGCCATTTGGCGTCAATAGAATAAAAATGAAATTACAATATGTATTCTCCTCTATATTTTTGTAGTTGTTGATTTTAGTATAAGATTACTAAAAAATCATAAAAAAATTATGTGAATGTGTTTTATCTATATGTTGTGAGTGGGTGTGAGAGAGAAAACAAATATTGCGCTGATATCCTCTCAAATGCATTATAATAATATAATATTATATTGGGGTCTGGTGTGGCTCGGTGGTTAGCCTCAGTCACTATAACGTGTACTGAGGTCTAGCATCGGCCGGCGTCGCTAGTTTCTGGATGGGTAACCACCCTGTTTATTAGTGATGAATCTTCCCCCTAAGTACACGTGTTCCTCAACCAACCGTAACTCCAAAATTCTAATGGCCATAGTTTCCGACGCTTATGACCATTAAAGAAAAAAAAAATAAACACTGATTAAATATATAATATAATATGACGAATATTTAATCAATGATATATAATATATATCAAATTGTATTTAATACCTAACGATTATAGTGCTGTTTAATGTAATGTACCTACTTTAATTAATATATTATCAAAATATGTAAGTTGGAATTTTTTAGATTTTTAGAAAATAAAATACTGCTAAAAAGATTATTATTTTAAAAAATTATTTAATATTATAAGTAGTTAAACACTATTATACTAGTATCATTTTTATATAAATTTTTCTAATTGATATTCAACATATTTTATTATACCTTAACAATTAAAATATTAAATATGACTATTATAGTTATGATTGACTTACGTATTTAATTTATATTATAGTACTTTTATATATAGGTACCTATATGACATGGAGTTTTAAAATGTACCTATTTTCGAAATATGTTTATGTATGTTTTTCACTGTAAAATAAGTTAAACTTAAACAAACCCGTTGGGTTTTAACCTTTTAAGGTTTTTGGTCATTTTAGATTTTTAGTTAGACATAGAAACTTTATACTACAAAATATATAAGTTTAATGTATAACTCCATGAATATGTATGAACAGTATAGGACGTTATGGCACCTTAATGATCTGCACTAGACAGTAATTTGCTTTTGCTTTTAACGTTACTGATTTACCTCTAGTAGCTTTTATCATGATAAATAACTATTTAGTTAAAATTTTCCCCAGTAAACATTTTATAAATGCAAAATATATAGCTTTTAAATAAAGTTTTCATTTCAGTTAATTAATGTATACTGGTGAATAATTGTTACGAATAAATCCATAATATCCAATCTACCTTAAATCAATAATAATTAATAACTATTATCGTATACTAAAAATTGTATTTAAAACAACAAAATGTAATGAAACAATCAATTGTAGTAAAATATGTTTTCATGCTTCAATAAAAACATGATTTCAGCGATCAACACATATACTTGGAATCAAACAAGTCATACAAAAAGTTTTCCTGACGACATCCTAGCTGTATCGTATGAAGATGGCAAGTGGAGCAAACCATATTATGATTGTGGAGGTGGAAATATATGGATGCTTACATATACCGTACCATTTTTTGCTTTCAAGGACGCCAAGTATTTTTTCAAGTAAGTATATCACATTATAAGTATCTATATAAATATTTAAACATTTGCATTTTTAATTTAATAATACTTTAAAAACGATATATTTTATTATAAGACTGCAAGAAATATAAAGTGATACATGTATGTGTCAAAACTCACTGATTTGACGAATTGTATTTTTTTTCAAAAAAATTGTATATTTTATAATTTTATCGGCAGAATTTTTAAAGTTAAAATACTTTTTTAAATGACGACATTAATATTTGATTTCATACTTGAAAGCAGAATATTATTTGGAATACTTCAAATAATCGAACTTCGAAGTTGTTATAGGTATTATTTAATATTAGTAATAACTTATAAGAACCTACTTAAAGTTTTGATGAGTTGAGTAGCAGATCGACAATATTTAGGATACCCCTGTACCTGTACTTACTTATCCGCCCATATATATATATATATATATAGATAGTACAATCTACATATAACTACTGTTTAAAATATCGATTTTTATGTATCAAAATACCTGGAAGAATATTCTGCTTTTTAATATGAGATTAAAAATTAGGATAAAAAATTGTAAAAAATGGAGTTACATAAAAAAAAAATACATCCAAAAAATACTTTTCAAAACAGTTGGTATAGTCGTATATGTATACACTAAAATACATCACTGTTTGTACTTACCATGTTTTTTTGCCAAACTTTTGGTCTTCATTGCATTAATTAATTACAACGATTAATTTGTAAATAGCATTTTATTAATAGAATATGTTTCAACTTATGTCATTTTTGCAATCAAGGTCGACACACTCTCATTATACGTACCACAAGAGGGTTGTGAATCCTTTTCCGGACAATAACAATCCGATTATGGATTAACTTGCCAGAAGGGTCTACTTTAGCAGGCACCCCATTTAGTTAGTATAGGTGTGTTTTCTAAGGATGGATACTATATACGGTTAGTTTTCCGTGACGTATGCTGAAGGACGTGCTATCCTTTTTGATGATATCCATTGAATAATGATGAAAGCCACAAACGCCTCGTTTGAACAATATGGTATTGAATTACAGTCCCGTCATTTGAATATGACACAATTGTGATTTAATATAATTGCTCTTTAATCAATGAATTAGTGTCAGTAGTGCATTCAACTGATTTCTTGTTTGTGTCCGATCCTCTTAATTGATTTTAACTTATGTCATGACACAGTATTTTTCATTAAAACACATACTCCAGTGGGAATATAATATACCGGTATATCAGTAGGATGTGGGTATATGTTTTATCCATGATAGTATACCCGAGTTTCGGCATAATGACTATTGTCTTTACCATTATTATTACATTAAAATATCCAATGTAGTAGTGCAGTACCTAATCATAATACCTATACATCATACAACTTTGAATTAAAAAAAAAAAAAATTAATTGAATTATATAGGTAAAGATATTTGATTGTTTAATAATTTATTACACCTACTGATTACAAATATTAAATTTTTAATCTAAATCATAAATATATATAAAAGCATAATAATATCATCATTTAATTTTCAATATGTTTTAATAAATCTAATACTTATATTGAAAACAGTAATGGGTTATACTTATGTAAACAGAATGTAAAAAGTTGTCGTTTTGTATATTTTGTGATATTGCAACAACAACAGTAGTTATATTACAATTTATTAAATTTTTGTACAATAAAAATAATAATCAATTTGTTTTGCTAAAAACAACGGATGTATACATAGTACATACTGTTAACATTGATATTGCCTATTAGTTTGAAAAATATAAAATGTTGGACTAAAATATGGGTTAGAGTTTCAAGTGTATTTCACTTCTTTTTTTTGTTGGAAATTACCTACCTATAAATAAGTAAATATAACTACCTATATTTTTTAAATAGTAGTTGTAATTGTAAACATGTACTATGTTATACTGGTTAGTAATTATTATAATACAATACTTTTACCATGGTAAACTGTTATATACCTATATAATATTATGTAGTCATTTAGAATGGCACGGCTCTTATAAGGTGTCAGAAACATGGGGGTGGGGTGGTTAATCTATGTGTACTGTGTAGTATTTCGGCTCTCTGCTGGACGCCGTGTCTGTTGTAATTATTACACCACTATGTTTATTTATACAAGGATGCTGTTCATCAAGACCGCTGTTCGATAGATCGTGTGTATGTGTGTGTGTGTGTGTGTGTGTGTGTGTGTGAGAGAGTTTACGTGACACCGGTCGCTTTTCTTGCCACGGTAAGGCGGTGAGGCTATTAATAATAATTATTATTCTCGGCCAACCGTTGAAGTGTTCGCTTGGTGCCCTAACGTATTTCACCTACAACATATTCGAACATGAATCAGCCACACTCGAACGGCTACGACCCACCGAAAAACCAACACGCTTGATATCACAATAATATCATACACAATAATACACATTATATAACCGACTTGCAGCACCGTACTCGTATAGAGGTTAGAAGATTTTACTTAGAGACTGGTAGCGAAAAACCCGACTAATTATTTATGAATTTTGGCTAAAAAAAAAAATTAATACTGCGACTAAATACTGCGCATGAAAATGTCAGAAAGACGCCCTCGAATTGACTCCAAAAGTGCCCTAAAGCAATATTCTATAAAAAAAAAAAAACAACCTTACAAACCTGTAGCTTACCTGGATTGGTGAGACACTTTTTTTACACCACGTCACAGTGCTTGTAACTTTGGTATGACATGCCACCCCTCGTTCCGCTTCACGGGTCATTATTTTGCCATGAAAACTTCTGTGGATAAAGTTTAATTTTTTTTGTTCTTTTCTTTTTTGAATAAATCGAGAAAAAAAGGTCTCGACACTCAAATCTTTGATTACATGATCCCATTGCTGAATTGTTATGAAAACAATCATTTTTTATTAACCCCTACAATTCAGCTGCTCCTGAGATTTGCTGAGATCCGATACATTATTATGCGGATTCTTATACTGCGCTTATATTTTCTGAGTTTAGAGTAAGGATGAGCTCGGCTTTGATGTTGTATTCTCGGCTCCAGCAGCTGTTGATCGAATGAAAATATGATTTTGAAATTATCATGTAAAATTTAACAACGTAGTATTTGTCCAGTGATAAAACAATTACTAACTTACATAAGTAGTTTTTTTAAATATCATGATAAGACACTGGCGTTGTTCATAATTTCTAATTGATTTGAGAATAATATTATACTACTTATATACATTGTATAGTGGATTGAAGAAATTCACATTGTGGGCATAACATAATAACAAAATAAGTTATTCAATAAATGATAAATTCGTTACAAAACTTGGAAAGATTCACACTGTATAGTAGAATGATTGTATTGTAAATTGACACCATTTTAATTCAAAATATTGAAAATTTATCTATTCTGATAAACTAAAATGATTAGAGTTTCGGTCAATTTTGAACTTAAGCACTGTATATTTTTGTTTACTATTATTATAACCATCTTAGGATCAATCTAAAAACGGGTATTATGAATGGTAACATAAAACATTTTGCTTCTTTATAAAATATTCCAAGTAAATTGTAATACCTTGGGGATGTTATTTTTTAATATAAAATCTATAGTTACGTAAATTCTCGAATATTGCCTGCTAATTTTGTTAAGTAAACCACTACAAATAGTTATTTTATGCACAAATTCTGATAAAAGAGCATCTGAAAAAATAATTGAACATTTTCCCCACATTAAATACTATAAAATAAATGATTTATTCAACTACCTATTCAATTTACATTTATAAATGTTGTGCAGTAATATTTATTTTTATACAAATTTGGAAAAGATTATTATAGTTATACATGTTGAAAATTGTTATCTTCCTATTGTTAGTTATACATTAATTTATAAAACAGAAAAATTAAATTTAGTTAAAATTATAATTTTATAATATTATTTATAATTTATAATTTTTCTATTGATAAATAGAAATTAAATGTTTAAAAATGAATAATGAATTACAACTGGAACTATAACTTTAATTTAAATATAGATGAAAATGATTTACTAAATTAATATACATTTTAAATAGGTAGTTCTAGCATCGGTTTGCATTTAATCAGTTTAAGTCAAGGGGGGGGGGGCTTCTACAATTATTCTTATAGAAATATTTTGAATTATTTGGTAAGAATGTCAAAGCAATTACACGATTAAAACAGTTTACAACAAACTCTATCAGATAGTAAACAAATTAGAATATTATTAATTACATCATAAGGATATGGAGCAATGACTTTACAAAACTTAAAAAAAAGCTTTTTATTGTGTATAGATTATTACTAAAAACTCATAAAGTTCTGATATTCATTGAATATCAAAATAATCTATATAAATATTATTTAAGAGTTAGGAATCAACGGGTCAGACTTGATGATCGATCAAGTGAAACACTACATATATCTTGTGTATCACCCCAAAGTACAGCTGCAGCTACATGCGGGTCAACCATTACCTATTCATAATTTATATTGATTATTTCCTAAAAATAAAAATAAATTATAAACACAAAATTATCAAGTTTATACCAACATTCAATTTTATGCAATCGATTTTAATTATCGATAAAATCGTTAAAAATCATATGCCTAATAAATATCAAAAGTGATATTAAAATACAATATTTTTTTTTATGATATTTTAAATTTTTATTGATATTGAAAACAATTTAAATCGATAATTTATACCAAAATAATAATTGTTTTATAATTAAAAATTCAACAATAGCCGATAGGCCAATAATGTTGTTCTTATAATATAGGTAATAACTAATAACTAATATTTTGTTTTTTAGACCTGTTACACACCCGCAAGAACGATGCCAGGTTTATCGTAGTTAGAAATAAAATAAAAAACTGTAAACATTTAAAACTGATATTTTAAGTCTAAAAAAAGAAAAATTATGTACGAAATCTAATAAAAAAACTTAGCACAATGAAATCGATATTGTGAAATTATATAAAAATGCATTAAATTATGATAGCAATGTATTGTTTTAAATTTAAATCAGGAAAAACAAATATCAATAGGGAAATGGAAATTAAAATTCAAAAATATTCAGTTTGATGTCACATTCCCTGGAATAAACTATATAATACACAATAATATAAATAATAATATTATATACATTCACATAAAATATATCTGTGTGTTTGTTCATGCTCGGTAATCTCGAAAACCACAAAAGGTATCGAAGCCATACTCGTATATTCGCATATTAGGCTCAGTTAGTAATCCCATTGTCACGATAAAATGCATTATAAAAGTGTTATTGAATCTACCTATGCAAATTATCACCATTTTGATGTATAACGAAATTAATGAGAATTGATTTAAAGTGTACTTATAATTTATCGGCTCTAGTTGAATTATATAATCTTTTAATTGGGGGACAAGGTGGCCGAGCGGTCAACGAGTCGGCTGCGGCGCTGCCGGTTCGGGTTCAATCCTCGACCACTGGGCGGCATTTTTCTCCGGGCAAGTCACGGTGTCCGGAGAACAAGTGCCGCCATCCCCCACTCCGGGGCATGGCAGAAACCTACGGGTGCCCCATTCGAAATTCTGCCAAAACACAAACACTCACGTGTAAACCCCCACCAACAAAAAAACCCTACCATCACCACCTTACAACCTACTAACAGCTAATGGCCATAGATGCCGGGCTTAAGGATCAGTAATAAAAAAAAAACTTTTAATTACTACTGGGGGACGAGGTGGCCGAGTGGTCTAACGCGTCGACTGTCGACGTCGACAGGGTTCGATTCTCTCGACCACTGGGCGGCATTTTTCTCCGGGCAAGTCACGGTGTCCGGAGAACAAGTGCCACCATCCCCCACCCGGGCATGACAGATACCTACGACCTACGGGTGCCCAATCAAAAATTCTGCCAAACCCAACACACGTGTTCCTCCCCCTACCGTACCGACATTAACAACCCACAAAATAACCACTACAGCTAATGGCCATAGTTGCCGAAGCTTAAGATCAATTAAAAAAAAAAAAATATATATATATTATACATCTTTTTTTGCATAAAATATAAGACGTGTGATAACAATAACAATTCCATAACATGATTTAGCTTATAGAGTGTACCTACACTGTAATATTGATAACTATATTTATTTGTAAAATACACTGAATATAATTTATAAATTATGTAAAAAAAGTTTTTATTTTGTGGAAATAAAAAGTTTAATTCTGAAATAAATTTAACAATAGTTAAAAAAAAATATGATGTATTTACAAAAAATTATTTAAGATTAAAATGATTTTAGAATTATTATTAAAATATTTTTAATGTTTAGGGATTTTTACAAATTAATTTTCTCTGTTAAGTGATATTATAATATTATATAAGTAACACAATATCCTTCAATGTAATATCAATTATAATCAATATAATAAAACTTAAAACTTATAAAATATTACGAAATCATCGTTACTAATGATTTATATTCACTTCAATATGTTAGTTGATTTAAATACAAATAAAACCCGACTTCAATATTACTCTTATAAGCTTTATCTGTAGAAGCAGATTTAAATGTTTAAAATAATTGTTGCGTTTGAAATATCATTATTTTACATTTTTAATTAGTAAAATAATACTATATATTATGAACAATATACAACAAGAGTATTGTACCTACCTATGTAATTGAATAGCTTATACCGTTTTTCTTCCACAAGTGTGTTGGAATTATATTATACTTTGGAGTTAAATCACTTTTTTAAAGAACGTTAATATAATATGCATCATTATCCATCTGCTATTATAACATTTTATTGCAAAAATATTGATGTTCTTATCAATGATAATTTTAGAGCATATTATTTAAAATATATTATATACAGAAAAGATGTGTACTATATTTTATGAGTCTGTTAGTATAATGACCAAAAAATATTGGTATGATTTGTGATGATACAGCTAAGATCTGTTAAAATTATATGATTGTGTTTAAATTTTATATTTAAAAAGTCACAGAAATTCTATTATTTTTCTTCTTTTTTTAATAAAAAATGTCATTGTCTGACGAGAATGATATTTGAATCACGTGCCAGAGAGTTTCGTACTTTTTTTCCCATCTATTCAAAGATTTCCTAACTATAGCATTCCATCAGTACAATTATATTATATTCCAAGTAAAATTATAATATTGTAGAATATATGTTTTGTTTCGTTATAGGGGGACCAGCGGAATCGATATCGACTTAAGGAGAGTGGATATCGACCAATGTAGTTTGCCCGAAGGCAGTACAAAGCTGAACATTTTTGCCTCTTCAAATAAATGTAAAATGGACACTACTCAAGTAAGATTTTTATAATTATGATTATCATATTAAATATATTATAACGCATTTCAATATCATACACATAATAACCAGTTGTCCGTAGTTAATTTAAATTGTTACCGACGTCCTATTGTTATGTTTATCTTTATCGCTGTGGTATCATGAGATATCGCTCGTGTAAAGTTCCTATACAACTACGTGCATTGATATAAAGTTTGCTGATAAAATCACAATGTTTAAAGTTACTTACTTTACTACAATCACGTCTTGTATTAGGTACTTATAAAATATTATGTTTATTGATACATATATTATCGTGAATTTAATATTCACACCGTATTTTCACCATGGTATGAAGCCGCCGGTCGAGCACACCAAGACATCATAATATTATAATAATATAGGAAACAATATTGTATTGTATACGTCCATCTAACGCGATGACAAAAATTATTTATACACTGCCATGGTAAAATTGCTGTGAATTTCGTTCGTATCCTCTGATCTACCCGACGACGATATCCATATAAGATCGACTGTGTAAGTTTATCGATAATATTAGCATACACGTGATACAGTCCATACGTGACATTTATGAAACGTATTATGTACCCTTTGTGAAATTTCGTGTAGTGAAGAAAAAAACACACACACGTGATTGAAAATTCTTGTGCGATTTATCTTTGTGTCATAATAAAACCTACCCAAACCTGCAGCCGTGGTTTAACGCATAATGGTAGGTGATTGAGTTTACAAACATGCTCGTAAAATTATAATATTCTAAGTACGGTCCATATTGTTTGACAGATATTAACAAGTCTAATATATTGTATGTTATAATATAAATATATTTTTTTTTAATCTAAATAACATCGGAATCTATTGCTTAAAAATGTTATTCACACAATAAATTGTTTTTTTCAACTATTATTTACAATGTATTTACTTTACAATAAGTGTAGGTATGTTTTTTAACTTGAATAATTCAGTTGTATAATTTTGTTTCCATTATGAAGCTGATTATATAATATTATATGTTTGATATATTGACAGTGGTCTGGTTGTAGTGCTTCTCCCATCTATTATTGTACGAGTATTATGTGGTGTTTATTTTTTATATCTTCATATTTTCAGCAATTTTGTTAAGATATCGATATGTTTAACTTACTGTGTAACTGTACTAAACTTCGCATGTTTGTATGTTTCACATAATATGGAAATATCGTTTTTTTCCCATGTGATGATTATGTGTGGTAAATGTGTGCCCTTATTCGAAAGCAATGTATAATAGTACCGTCTTTCATTCTTGGATTGTGTTTTTTTTATCACCTTTCACTGTTTCACACGTACTATTACGTCCCTGTATTTTATAATATTCTTATTTGCCCGTACAGTACAAGTTTTGGAAACTTTGGCTCGCGTTTTTTTAAACTTAACTAATTAGATCATATACATGTCAAAATTAAATAAAAATAAGAATTTTATTTTGTATTTGTTTGCATATAATGTTTAGAATTGGAGTGTTGGTATAGGTGGTCACAATTTATCTACCCATTTCGAAAAGTTTTGTAGATTTTTCTTTGATTAATTTTGGTATATACAATGGTTGGATTGGTTGCACTTTCGATGTCTCTGAAGTACTGAGTGAATCGCTGAATATTAAATATAGTTGTTATGTATTGTATATTTATTTTTGATTATGTGGTTTTACTGTTTTGTACATTGCAAATACATCGGACTTATAATTGAAAACTCGGGTGGAAGTTTGTAAGTAGGAAATTTTTTGTATTTTCGATTATTATTGCTATCATAGCACTGTTTGATATTTTAGATGCACCTGCAGTGTAAGTGTGTGTACTATATTGTGGTATTTTTATATTGTGTTATGGTAACATAATAATATTATATGCACATACTTTTGGGTTTATGTTTTCTTTTTCTTTTTATTCTCTTGTTTTTATCTTTATGTTGATTGTTGATATACATTGTCCATGGGAGAAAATATTGGGATTTTCTTCTTACAATTTTCATTAGTTAAATTTGGGATTCTTCGGCATTTTTAATATTTCTTCCGTGTATTTGTTAGCTGGGCTATCCATATTTTTTATTTGTCTAGCTGATCTTTGCGACATTGTTGATGTACATGTTTGATGTTTAGTAAATGGTTTTTTAAATATTTCCGAGATTATTTATGAGACAATAAAGTGTGCAGTCGGTACCATCTACCTTTATTCTATTAGTAATACGTGTTATTCTCCATGATTACTGTAAATCATTTATTTATTTTGTTGTTGACATATGCACAATCAATACCTACTATTTAGCACAATATGTGTATGTGGTTACAGAACAAAAATACATAAAAATAGAAATAAGAAGCCACTCATTAGTGGCACTCGACTGGGAGTTGTTTGGTTATCTAACTAAATCCATATATTATAATATAATATATTTGTAAATTATTTATTTTGAATATAATATCTAATATCCTAAGTATCCAATATCTAATTGGGAGTTTGGGACCTTATATAATTTAAACAAATCGATATATTATACATATTATTTTTAATTTCACCATTAAACATGTTACTTAACCACCTAATAATATTATTATATGCAAATATTCCTTAATTAATATTTTGAAAATCTTTTCTTACTCTTTGAATTATGAGTATTTATCTTCTAATTCATATGGAAAATACCGTCTCTGATACACCCTATCGGAATATAGATAAATCACATCGTAACGACCACAAAATACATTCATTATTCATACTGCAGTATTCATTTAAAATTGTCAAGTACTCTGTTTAGTGAAACAAGTTAAAATAAAATAATAATTTTTTATGAAAAGTTGTAAATTAACAAACTAGTAATTTGTTAACAGGAAGTGTATTTTTTTATTTTATCTGAAATTCATAAATTTGACATCTATTGTAATTGGTGTAATACACAAAAAAAAACCCATGTAATATGTGTACAAACATGTCCAATATGAATTTTCTCGAATAGTGATGAATGATAATAAACATTTTATTCTGTAATTTACATTTACATTGTCTTCGTTTCTCTGAAATATATTTACAAATTACTATAGAAATCGATTCATAATATTTATATTTAGACCTAATACATTCCAAATAGTCAAACAGCAAATGGGTAGTTGAATAAAATATAATAAAACACATTTTAAACATGATTGGATTGTCAACATTTAGTCCACGGACAGTATTTCAACTCACAATGTTTATTTTATATTCACTCATTACTCATCTATGTTTTATATCTTATGAGTTAAATAATTAATCAAATAGTAAATAATACTTTGATAACCATTCAAATAATGTACAGGGAGAATGGTGATCTACCCTTTGTACTAGCCAATAAATATTTTTCTAATTTAAATGTTTTTGAAATGATTTGTTGGATAATCATTATTATGATATTAAAAAGACACAATTATTATCGTAACAATAAATTGTGGTATTTAACTGAGTTAACATAATAGAAAAATGTATTGTTTTCATAGTTTTTAAAGATCTAAGATAACTCAACTGTAGTATACATTAAAGCAAACATATTAAAAATTGAATTGGCAATTTTCATAAAATATAGAACCGTTTTGTTAGTTTTCAATTAGATTTAAAAAACTGGTGGATGAGAATATTTGATGTTAATTGGCTAGTAGGTTGGTTATATTTACCATAAAAAATACCCTGAAAAAAGCTGTATACATACTGTGTGCCTATTTAATTTTACCTAGTTCTATACACATATCAATATCACAATATATATTTTTATATACATCATTTCATTTTTTTTTTTTTATAGTGTGTCTCGTTGGCTGGATTTGGCTTTCGTCGTGGAAGTTACAAGTGTGTGTGCCGTAAAGGATATTATTTTCCAAATATCACAAGCACCGAAAAGTCGTTCAATGGCATCGTAGTAGAAGAAGAGTACGAAAAGCTTATGTTGGTGAGTGTAGGGAACACAGCTTATTCTGAATATTCCCAATAGATGTTGACATACTTATATTATTGATCCATTATTTATTTATCTTTTTTGAATTTTTTCTTAAGGGAAAACCAAATACGTATAACATCGACATAAACTTTCAATGTAAAAAATGTGCCGAAGGTTGTGACGATTGCGTCGATTTTAGTCCATGCATCGCCACCTACGACATTATACTTCGAATCACAATACTATTATTAACGCTCCTGGTGATTGGATTTCTACCAATGGTAGCTATATTTACGTTCAAATATAGTGATCTCAAGGTAATATATATATTCATAGTATTAAAATAATATTAGAAAAATGTATTATGTTCTAACCTTTTTTATTTTGAAATTCTCATCACCACTAACTTTGTAATTCAAAGTTAATGATATAATTGTATGAATATATTATTTAGCTACACTTCACATGTTCGTTATGACATGGGAATTAAATTCATTTTATGAAACAAAATACTATGTTACTTTTATTGATGGTATTCTACACGTTTTAAGTATCATTTAACAATATTATTATTACATCTATATATACTCATTAAAAGCTATAATATTATTATATGTACCTGCCAAATAGCTTGTGTTAAAAAAATAAATATATAATGAGTACCTACCTATATTTTGGAGTTCGTTAATAATCGTTTTATACTCCCATTGTGCCTGCATAATAATATATCATAGAAAGCAGTTTTATTTTGACAATTGATCGTAATAAAATACGTGATCTGTTTCCATAAATTCACAGTAATTCCCCGATGCCTAATAAACGAAATCATACCTACTTGAAAATACTGAAAGTCCCTCTGTTATATAGTAAAGGTTTCGAGGGACCCTACTCAATAATTAGGTCACTATAAGACATCTTCGGTTTTAATTTAACATTCTCTAAATGTATAAAACATCAAATGAATTATTATTAAAATAGATTTATAATTAGTGATTTGATAACTAAAATAAATAAAACGAACTCGGGTAGGTATAACAATCCACGACGGTTCTAGTTTTGGTTCTGTGTTTATTCTTTTACGATATGTATAGTAATATTATTGTTATTTTATTGTATTTAAGACTTCGACGACTGAGATAATTAGCCTGTAAGGTTGGTAGGGTTGGTACGGGGTAGGTTTAGAACGGTTGGTACGATTGGTTAGAAACACGTGTATGTGTGGAAAGAGGTTTTTGCGAGGGTGGTCACCCATCCGGGAACTTGTGGCAGCGACCGTTACTTACTCTCATTCGTTGCGTGACTAACTGCAGCCAACAGGCCATGCCAAGCCACAGTAATATTATTGTTTACTGTGAAAGATAACGTACTGCATGTCAGCAACATTGACCTAACTTTTAAACAATTTATACAAAAATTGTACGTGACTGCTTGGGTTTACTGATTCTAATAAATAATTGTCTGGAGTATAGATTATAATGAAAACGTTGATAAAACTTACTTGCGAAAAGTCTACCATACTGCAAACTTTGAAGTTGTTTTCAAATAATATTGGTGAAGTGGATAGCATTCAATCTAAACAACTAACAATCTATAAAGTTATTTTCTTTTCACTTGTGTTATTTTGAAAACGTGTCTATACAGTCTCATCTACACTAAATATGAATAAACAATAAATGCGTATTTTATCATCTCCGATTTATTCGGCTTATACATCAACAAGCGAAACACATTATATCTAACCAACAATATCTTATGACAGCTTATATCGCATTATTCCTCTCAAATTTCAAGCTTTAATCACCCACCTTGTAGTTGATTTCAAACTCCGTTGGGTGCCCTATATTAATCATTTTAAGCACATCGTATCCCGTTGTGCCAAAGTATTTTATTCCATTACTGGCACTTGGTGGGAGCTCGTCTATCTGTACACTCAACATATTATATACTTCGGTAGCTGGATTTTAAATGAATGACATTATAAATTTATAATACAAAGACATTATTATATTATGTATTTTTTTTTTAGTCATTCTGGTGCTTCATATTTTATCCGAAATTAATTTAAAGAAAAACAATGATTTATAATTATATACATATTATTAGGTACATGCTATTACTTATACAGGAAAAATACCTAATAAGTCACATTGAACTTAAAACACTCACTATGCCTTATAGTAGGTATCTATCAACTATCAAATCCAGCTGTATACCTCGTGTTTTCGACATTGAATTGGTCACTGTAAAGGATGTGTTCATTTTTGAGTCAATCACATTATTATACACGAAAAAGCCAATATTATTAAGGATATTTTATTATACTACATTCATAGAGATATATATTTGTAATTCATTTTTCCGTTAGTAATATTAGAATAGGTTGATCTAATTTTTAGTAAAAAAAAATCTTATATATTGCATAGTAATTACATTTTAATTTCTCTTACCTATAAATTGTGTTAAATTATTATAATTTAAAATACATTACTAACGTACTGCGTAGAACGGTAGGAAAAGGTTCGTGGTATAAATATCTTAAAATTAATTTAAATATATTGACAAATTTTTTGTATAATATACTCAGTGAATCTTAAGAAACGTACTCAGCAACAAGTTTTTGTCAGACATTACATTTTCAAGCATACGAAATGTTTATTACGATTCATGGAAAAAAACTTAAAATCTAAAATGCCTATAAATAGGTTTAAATTAATCTAAATATTTTGGATAGTTCAATGTTACGTAAGTAATAGTGAAATGTTTCAGGCTTCCAGAATATTATTTTCTTAATTTCAGCAAAATCGCAAAACTCGTTTGAGGAGAAATCATTATTTTAAATGTGATTATCGAATGTTGTCAATATTTTAACTTGGAGTCGCTCATATAAAATGTATGTCCATAATGGCTTAATGAAATTAGACAAGTTTTCAATAAAAAAAAGTTATGAGAAATCTTGTATGATATTTTTAAGCCTAAGGTATTTATAATTTTTTAACAAAATAATATTTTCATTATATGTTATTATTACCTACAAAAAAAAAAATTAAATCCATTTGTAAAAATCTAGTTTTGGGTGATAATTCCAGTTAACCATTAATTATTTTTTTAAGTACAGAGAATTGTTTACTTATGACAATTTGGTCCAATCTTCTACCACAAACCACCTTCAAATAATTTAAAGATTCGAGTTTTTTTTTCTGTTCCAAAAACTGGGGACGAACACAAACAATTAAAAAAAACACACACATGATTGTAAATTCAATACGTTCATTGCTTCACTAAGAAACTAAAAAAAAAAAAATAGTTTGATCAATAATTGTATGGATTTGATGCATACAGTGCATTATATTTATGTAATATCGATATAGGTAATAATTTTACTGTATTATAGTAAACATTTTTAAGGATCAAATATTATAGACCTACCACACATTGAAATAGATCGTGCGAATATGACTATTATACAAGAAAAAAATACAATGTGGAATAACTGCCAATTATTGTACATTATATATAAATTTCTTTTTACATAATAGACATTTCTCACCTATCTTAGGTAAACAAAACACGTAAAGACAATGAAGGAGTATCATAAATACAGTATCTCCTTTGACAGCGGGTTCTGGAAGAAAGATAGAGAGCTGACTTATGTTTTAGATTTTTTTTAGTCGATGCAGTAAATCTTGTTTATCATCATATACGTCAAAGGTTTTTGGATCCATCACATATCAAGTTTTTCCACCTTTTTAGATTTAGAGATAAGTAAAGGACGTATATTGGTGTTAAAAGATATTCTAAGAATTTTGTTTTTATTTTCTCTAACCTCTGTTTCAAAAATCAATGATGTTAAAAACTATTGTGATTATTAAATAATTAATAATAATTATGATTAAAAAGTAATAAAGTATCTTCGTTAGCGTTAATATAATAGTATAAAATATTAAAACTTCGTTGATTATAAGTATATCTTAACTTTTAACTTTTTTTTTTTTTAACAAAAAATCAATATTTTTAATTGTATTATATATTTATAAATAAATAACTAAATAAGAATACATTATTATAAGAGGATGCTACCCATGCATGTGTTGTTTTTATCTTACAAAAATAGTAAAACATATCAAATTTGAGTTCTGGCAGTTTTTCAGAACGATTGTTTTGTTATTAGAGTAGTGGCGGTTTTTACATGTAATTTTACACTAAAAATATTAAATTGTAAATACACTATTACTCTAACACAGGAACAAAATATGTTAATGTATTTAAATGGTAAGGGTTATCAAAATGAAGCGGAAAGATTAGCCTGTGATGTTTAAAAACTATTCTGTGCTATGACAATCACTTTATCATATTCAAAGATATAGATAATATTTCATGACCAAATGATAACAGACGTGCGACACCGCGGCGGTCGTGATCAGAGACAACAGCGCGCAGCCCCCCCACCCTCACCCTAGCAAGTACCGGGATTGGTTTAAAAAGAAAAATAATAGGGAAAAATCTAAATAAAAAAACAATTAAAAATTGGTAATTTATTATTTAAAATTGTCTGTTTGTTTATCCCTTTATACATTAATACGTTATTCATCCGATCGTCATGAAACTTTCATGGTGGGTATCAGGCACCCCAATAAAGGGTTCTAAAATCAGAGGAAAAAAATTGTATACATCATACGTCATGAAGTATATGTTAGGCGAGCTACCGAGAAAATGTCGGTGGGCCGCTTGAAGTTTGGGCCGGTAGTGTGAGTGTGAGTGAAAATAAATTTATGTTTAAAATACGATTGGCCACCTAGAAGCTCGTAATAATTATAGACGTAATTTGGGGCCACTCAATATGTAAATGGGCCGCTTATAGAAGTGAAAATCTTGATGGACCAATACATACCAATCCGGCCCTGAGTATATGATAAGATTTCCCGGTAAGCTTTGTAATTTTCTATATTATATATAAAATTGAATGTATGTCCGATCGCGATGAAACTTTGGGAAGTTGTTGAGTACACTCCCACAAAGATTTCTGGCACATTATACCCTGGCCTATTTCAATCCGAACTGGGTTACAATAAACCCGAGATACACCAATTTAACGCCGTATTTTGTATTAATTGATCATTTCCCCGGCGAAGTCATATTATACTGCTATTTCAAAAACCACCAGATGGCTCATTATATCCAACCCGCTGTAAGTTGGAAAAACGACCAACCTGGTATAACTTTGAAACTTTAGAGTTAGAAATTATACACTTATGTACGCACAAAGCTACCTGATAATTTACTACTCGCATATCACCATATCACACTTGATAGTTTATACCCCCCCCCAAAAAAGCATTTTTATCAAAGTATTGATAATGACCACTCATGTTTGCTAAAAACCTATATCCCCCCCAAACTAAATTCCTTTTTACGCCACTGGCTGTCTCACTAACTAATAATTTTTTACACGTGTTTGAACTCATTGATCTAAGTTTCTTAGGAAGTCGATTTCCAATTTTTAATTTAAAATGACCTTTAAATAACCATTTTTTAGAAATCCCATGAAATAATTGCATTACATTTTTATATATTTTTGCTACATCTGATTTTAAATTTAGCATAAATGATAAAGAATCATAGTCTAGAAGCTTATAAATTCAAATTTTTTTTCGAAATTACAATGGAACTTCGGGAAGTATGATTAATTTACTACCGTTTTTAGTATATTTCATTTTTGTCGATGCATTGACATGTGCGTGTTCGTGTGAGAGTTACTTCCGGCGTGGTTGGCCGACTCGACGTGCAGCGATTCTCGGAAATAACGATAACGGATTACGCACACTAATGTTAATTTACTACTCACACACAGATACAGTATTAATGTGTCACATGAATTGCCTAAATAGTACTCCTTAAAATATTCTAAGGTGCAGCCCCCTTAATTTTGTTTTGAGACTCAAATATGGCCGATGAAAATTTTTAATTTTTGAACACCATTACCACCGAATATTAAATAACGAATTGAAAAAAGTTTTAATCATATGAAGTTAGCATTTTTAACGGGAACCTAAGCGCACAGGGTTAGCTAGTTTATTTATAAATTTATAGTAAAATTAAAAATATTTATTAATAAATAGTATTTCTCACGGTTTCAGCATACCTACTCTGCTTTAAATGCTTCAAAAATAATTAAGATTTTACAATTAACCATAGGTAGGTACCCAAGTCTTCTCATAGTATTTATATAAAATGTATTTACATTATGTCAACCATATAATTTCAAGTATATTAAATATAAAACCAAGTAGGTATACAGTTTTAAGTTTAATACCAAAATTGGGTAAAAAGTTTTAAGCGAAAAAAATCACTTTACGCAAATTATATCAATAATGTATGTATATTGTGTTTCCTTCTATTTAAAATGACTGATTGGTAATGCTCACAAAGTGCTCAACCATGTTTTCATATCATATTTCAAGAGCTTATAGGTTAAGGAACTCTTAAATAAACTAAAAATATATGGACGAATACAATGCCGAAGATTATATAGGTAGCTAGTAGCGTCACACACATGATGTATTTAAGAAAAATTTTACACCAAAGAAAATAATTTCAAAAAATATTTAAGAAACTTATGTTTAGGTATATGTTACTATTCATATAAAATATTTAAATATGTCATTTATTCATAAATATTAAATTGCAGTACATTATTTATTAACTGTTTTCAATTACTATAATCGAGAAGTATATTATATTTTCGTATTATACCTATGATTTTTGTACGACATGCCTTTGGCCAGTATAATATACCATACACTATAGGTTGTAATATACAAATTAAAATATGGTTAATAAATGTTTCATAAGTAATTTAAAATTATTTGGTTTTGTAATGTAATATAAAATAATAAAATATGCATTTCTGTATTGAATTGATAAACATATAATTTAGGTAATCAGAAAATCACAGGGATGGAAAACGTTTTTAATTATTTCGTTTTCGTTTTTGTTTATTGATTTAAAATGTCGTTTTGGTTTAACGTTTTTAAACGTTTTGGATTAACGTTTTTATAACCGTTATTTTATGGTGGTATAAAATATAAATATAATAATGTATAATACTATAATTTATTTTCGTTTTTGATTTCGTTATAAAATTTTTTTCGGTTTTTTGGGTTTTTTGTTATTATTTTTCAGTTGTTTTTTGTTTTTGTTTTGTTAATTGTTTTCGTTTTTTGTTTTTTTCCGTTTAATAACGTTTTTTAAAAACGTTTTCCATCCCTAGAAAATCATTTTATAAATCATCATATTTTACTACATTGTATAGATGGTTTTATTTTTTAAGTAACCAATTTATTTGTCAATTGTTATATACAACATAAAATATTATATCAAACGAAAATATTTATTTTCCTGATTCCATTATTATAAATACTAGTAGAGGTATTTGTTGAAATCTCAATCTTCTATTTATTTAAATTCAATGAAATTTCATAACAATGACAACATTTAATTTAACAAAAAAAAAATATAGAACGAATAAGAATAATTGATACTGAAATTGTATTATAACGAATACACGTACTTCGTACTATAATATCAAACCGTCATCTTGTATTATTTTTTTTTTGTACTGTAGATTATGAATACATTGTTCAAAAGTTGAATTTGAATGAATTTCGTATTTTATGTTTCAGATTGTAAAAGCCGCTAGTCCAGTGTTGTTACAGATAATAATCTTGGGAGCTTTTTTTATGTATACAACGGTAAGCTATGACGACACCGAAGATCCAACTTGTAAATAGCGCTTTGATTAAAAAAAACTTATCAATATTGCAGAAATTATTTCACAGACTAAAAAAAAAAATAACAATTTACAGAACTCCTCTAAGACATATTTCGGCTAACGGGTCTATATGACACTATGGAGTGCGGCTAAGAAATCCAATCTCAATTTTCAGTAGAGTTCAAATATTTCAAACTATCTCAGTTTCCAAATTGTTCACTCTCAAATCTGTTAATTCGATAATTTCTTTAAATTTTAAATTTTAATACTTATTGTACTCATATGCGTGGGTAGGGGTTGGGGGTGGGGCATAGCTTCTAATGTTTCGAGTACACAACATAAGAATGTGAATCAAATCTCAGAAATAGCCTATGATAGTTTCAATCTAAGAATGTAACTAAAAACAAATTACGGGAGGAGGCTAAACCAAATCCCAGTGGAGCTATGCCACAATTCCAGGTACCAGAAAATTCTCATTGTAGGTTAAAAATAACTTAGTATCGAGACCTTCTTGGGTTTTGTGTTTAATCATATTTATTTTTAAAATCAAAATTGAAGTTCAACTAATATGTGTACCTATTATATTTTTATCGTGGACCGTGGTCGTCACGGATTAAATCGCAGATATCAATGTATTCTACAACGTATACATTGAACATTTTAAAAATAATGCAGACGTAATAATCGATTAAGCCTTTATTATTGTATTGACCTAATCAAGTTGAAATCAGAAAAAAAAAATGTAAATTATATATGATAGATTAAAATTTAAGATTTTCACCTTGAAATTTTTTCACTATAGGCACTAACTGACTTAGACTAATTTCTAAAATAGAACTAAACCGTTTACTCACGAATTACAATTATAATAAAATTACCGATACTGTTTTTATTATTATATTTTATTTTTTGCAGATCATCGTCATGTACCCAACACCAAATCTAGTAACGTGCACTGCACGATTTTGGCTCAGGGAAATTGGATTTTCCCTCACATACGGCGCACTCATGTTGAAAACTTGGAGGTGAATTTATTCGCTTACTTCCTTTTAATAGTAGGTCCCCCGTAGTTTCGGAAATAATTCCTCGTTAAAGGTTCTGTTTTCCGCTTAACTAATAAATAGCCATTTACTTCTATCTTCAACTTTAATCCGCTGTATCCGTTTATTGGGTCCCTAACTTGATAAAATATAATTTTGCCTCGTTCAAATGTGTTTATGCATATTTATAATGTGTTTATTGAACCCGAATTATTAGAATAATATTATGGTATAAGCATATTCATTAATCAGTCATGGACTAGTCATAATCATGATAATAATTATGATAATCTGATTACTATTTTTATCATAATATAATATAATACCTATATATTCGTATATAATATTAAATACGCTTTGAACTTAATTTCATCATATCTACTGTGCTTTGTTAAAATTATTAGCATGAATTCTCTCATTGTGATAATTATATACACAGAGATTGTCAAAGAACTCCTATAAATAATATATTTACAAGCTAAGCGTATCTTCCTATTCATTAATCATTATAATACTAAAGTAAATATTGTACCTCATCATAGATAATATTGTTATTGAAGAGACAAGGAGCAAAATTAAATTGAATTCCGAATGAAATAATTGTCAAACTAAAATTATTTTAGCTTAACGTCAGAAAGTTGAATATTTTGAATTTTTTTTTGCATACAATATGATAATCTTCACTAGTTTTGCTTTGATTTGACTTAATCCAATGTTTAGTTTAGTAAAAACTTTTTAAAGCTATTAAATTTCATATAGAAATTAATTACGACTTTTTTGATAAAACCATTTTAAATTTTGACGTTGACTATATAACGTGAAATCAATATTTTATTCCAAATGTATTTTAAAAATAACATTTTTGTTCATTTCTACTTATTTTCCAGTCATTAATTATTAAAATTATATTATACCTACTTTATAATGATATTCAACTACTAAACTCACATAGTGTGTATACTAACAGCTTACATAATATATAGATAATACAATTGAATCAGTATGCTAATTTTTTTATTTTCCCGACCCTTATAGCTTAATACTGACATGTAAAATATATATTCCTGTCGGCTTTGCTACTTCAGGATTTCATAAACCACGCCAACAGCAATAAGTACTATTGTCGATTTTCAACTTTGTCGAATAATGACAAGATAATTAACATTTTGTTTCGTACATGGAAAATAAATATATTATGATGATATTCTTTGAAGTTTAGTTCTGTCTATAAAATATAATAATTTGTAACACATACTGTACACTACACGTCTAATGCATGCGATAAAATGGTGTTTTGACATTAACATTTTCGGAGTAGATGCAAAAAGATGATTTAGGTGTGTTCTTAAATGTTAATATAATATTAATTTACATCATTATAAGACAGCAATAGTTTTCTTATTCCGTTCACAGAGTATCTCAAGTGTTCAAAGTGAACTCGGCGAAGACCGTTCGCATCACTGACAAGCAGCTAATTAAACTTCTGCTTCTAATGATCGCATTTGTCACCGTGATACTGTTCATCAGGACCATGGTGTCTCCACCACACACGATTGTCGGTCGCACAGCAGACAACCTTAAAACAGATATTTGTCCCACAGATTGGTGGGATCACTCGTTTTCTATTCGTAAGTATTCATTATATTTAATGGCTCTATTACATCACTACTAGAGTACGCACTAATGAAGTAATACATTTGAACATCAAACCTAAGAATCTGTCCAAAACACAATATTTTATTGTATACTATAATGCACAATGTCCATAATAACAATTAATTATTACCAAATGAGAAAAAAATCTCATAGTAAAATATCTGAAAACAATTATTGTTATTGATTATATGATTTGATATAATTGTTTTTATTAACAATTTATTTTGATAAATAATAAATATTCGTATTGATATTTAAGATTCAAATATTATGTACCATGTTTTTTCAATGTTTTCTCATTTTTAGTGGAAGTTTTATTCTTAATTTGGGGTATCCGGTTGTGTGTAATGGTTCGAAAAACGCCGTCTGCTTTCAATGAAAGTCGGTTCATTTCTATAGCCATATATAATGAATTTATCATGTCCGTATTTCTCAATGTTTCCATGTAAGTATTACACAATTTTTCACATATTAAATTACTAGTTGTAATATATTATACACATATATGTATATTCATGTATAAAGTATAGGTACTGTTGAGTTATTTGATTTCAAATTGTTTAATATACAGTATGTCCCAAAAGTCCCGTATCACCCTTAATATCTCCATGTAAAATCATTATATTTAAACGCGGTTTTTTTTTACAGTACTAAGTATGAAAATTCTGATTGAATGGCATAAAATTCATTTATTTTTTTCCTTAAATTCAAAAATTTTCAAAAAAATTTTTTACGCATTTAAGAATTTAAAATTTTTAAGATAGCCATTTTGTTGAGCATATTTTTTAAAACAGTTCAAAAAAAAATTACTAAAATTAAATAAAAATTGACCAAGTTAGAGCAAGTTATGTTTTTGAATAATTGTAGTAAAAAAATAAATTATTGTTTCACATTTCAATAATGAAATATCTAATTTCAGCACACGACCATACTTTTACATTCCTAATTTATTTTTTTACTACAATTATTTAAAAACATAACTTGCTCTAACTTGGTCAATTTTTATTTAATTTTAGTATTTTTTTTTTTTGAACTGTTTTAAAATATATGCTCAACAAAATGGCTATCTTAAAAATTTTAAATTCTTAAATGCGTAAAAAATTTTTTTGAAAATTTTTGAATTTAAAGAAAAAATAAATGAATTTTATGCCATTCAATCAGAATTTTCATACTTATTACTGTAAAAAAAACCGCGTTTAAATATAGTGATTTTACATGGAGATATTAAGGGTGATACGGGACTTTTGGGACATACTGTATAATTTAATAATAATAATAACTAATAATTTGGTGCAATAAAAATAAAACTAATAATTATTGTATTATTCAAAACCCAATTTTGAATAAACTAATAAATTACCAAATATAATTAATAGGTATTGGCTGTTTCCATAATAATATATACTGTACTGCCATATTTGAGTAGTGTAAATAAAATAAAATAATAATGTTAACGGTACATCATAATTTGTATTGATTACACTTTATGTTTATTTTAATTACGCAGTTTTTATAAACAAAAATCTTGTGAATGAATGCTAATAGTATTGTAAGTTTATAAAAAAAACTAAAAATCACGAATATTTGTTTTATTAAAGACAAATAATATTTTTAATCTTAAAATACATATATTTTAATTGTTAATGGTACTCTAAATTATGTTAATAATTAACATTATACTTAAATATTCTTAAAGCTTTAGTTTCGTTAAATATACCGTTTGTTAAATTTATTTTTAATTATATTTGTGGTCATTAATAATAGGTTAATATTATGATTGATGAAATTAAAATTTAAAAAAAAAATAATTATCAGAGAGTTATTAATCATATCAAAAAAAAAAAACTATTTACGTGTATATACCTTTTAATTATTGAAATTCCATCAATTGCCTTGAGTAGTATAATATCCCTTACTGTTAAATATCCAAAGTGACAAATTATTGTTAGTATTTTTTTTTTTCGGAAACTAACCACTCGTCGTTATTCGTTCACGAAATAAATTTGATAAAAATCAATTGCAAAGTTATTATGTAGAGTGTGCCTAATGCTGATTTTTATTACATGTTAGTTTTAATTTTGTTACAAAGATTTCAGAGCATGATAATATTTTTTGCAATTAATTAAAAAGTATTAAAGGGTAGGTTATTTTCAGTTAAATATTTTTTTATAAAAAAAAAATCCAATTTGTATACATATGACATCAATATTGGAAAAACATATTATATTTTTCTATTTATTTTGATTGCTTAGTAATATAGTTGTGCAAACTTCACAATGTTTTTAGAGAGAATCATCTGGAAAAGTTAGGTACTAGAAAAAAGTAGTGTCAAAAACACACGTTCTTAGACAAATCTATATATTTTTTTATTATTAAATTGAGCTCCACAAAGCATTTTTGTTCGATGTACCATTGCTTTAACATTTTAAGACATCTGCACCAATGTGCTTTTACTATCTCGCTTTTTATGCACATAATTTGTTTAAATCAATTTATTAACTTTAGAAATTTAATATTAATGATATTAGTTATTTTCATAAGTTTAGTGAATTCGGATATTTACATAATACAATTTTAATAATATTCCTTTCCCATTTATTCCGTAAACAATGTGCACTCCATTTGAAATGAGTGGATTTAATTTAATAGTCGCGTGCAAATACATAGGTATACACGACACATAAACGTTAATATAACATAACTATATTATTGTTTATTGATGAGCAGGAATAATGGAATAACATTTAAATCATTCATGCAAAATTTAGATTAGTTTCTACTTTCTAGCCACATGACTGCATACACTTTGTACTGAAAACAATATATCTACCTATTATTGACATTATCAAAGAATAATTATATTTCAATTTCGTACGTGTAATTTACATGGTAAAATATTTCAATTTAATCTTTTAACATGACGTCATAACTCATAAATCATAATATTATGTTAAATACCTATAATAGCATAATGATTAATGAATAATTATGTTATTGTATTCTATAAATACTGTAACATAACTGAACTTAATTTTGCAGCGCCAATATTTCTCTGCATTTGGCCATTCGGAAATACAAAATACAAATTGTTAACGATGTTTTATAAAAATATGTGAAATTGATTTAGTGAAGTCGTAGGTGTTCTGTTCATTAATTTCGTATTCAGTTTTTAATTTATTAAACATTTTATAATTCATATACATTGAAAGTACGATTCGAAAACTGAAAACATATTAATAATATCTATTTAGTATATCGATAAATGATTTCAAAAATAAAAATAAAATGTTTAATTGGATAATTTTATTTTTATATTTCATCTAATATTTTAATAACATATATATAGATACATATATTGTATATTTATATATTATATGGATTGATTATTTTATAGTGAACCAGGCAATATTTGATATTTCTGAAAAATTATAAAATTAACAAATCGATAGTAATTTGTAGGTATAACATAGGCAGTAAACATAACATTAGCACAATTTTGCATTCTTCAATGATTCTCAGTTATTGTACTTTAAATAAAAAAAAATAAAACAATTATTGTTTATAAATTATAATAGTATTGTATATTTTAGCATCAAAAATATAGAGCTATAAATGTTGCACGTAACCTGAAAATCCTGCTATTCTGGTAAATCTTGGTTTTCTCTACGTTTCCCAAAACAATAATATATTTTGTACATTTAAATAGTCAAGTTTTGATATTAGCTCTTACCGATATTTAAGTTTACAAAAACTCTACAGACTCAAATTTGATACATCATAAAGTAACAAATTACTTATAACACTCTCCAATATAAAATTAAACTTAAATATAATTAATAGATAATAAATAATAACTAATTATTAACTTGAATTAATTAAATACTATTATTTTAAATTAATAAAGATATTAAAATATATTATATTATTTTGTAAAGCTGTTTAACTTTTACTTTTCCTAAATATATGTTTACACGATACACATTTTATTTTAAATAAATAAATTATTTTAACTGTTTTTAATTACAACAATTGTTCATTTATTTTTATAATATACTGATTATGTCGGGAAAAATATGTTTCCAAAATAGGTAATTTTTAATATAGGTAGTTAAAAACACTAACATATATTTAATATGTAAATAAATACATTTTATCAATATTTATTTAAATATTTCTTTTACATCTTATCGTAAACTTCAAATTAATATCTATTATGGTTTAATACTAAAAAATATTTTTTTCTTTTAACTTAAAAATGACTTGTTTATGGATATATTATGGTCTTATATCTTCGCCGTGTATATATGTCATAATATAATCAATAAAATATATATTTTAATCAATTTTCAGGATATTTTTAAAATACCCAGCTAATCCAGATTTACAATACGTCATATTTTTTTGTCACGCTCAACTTACGGCAACCGTATTACTGGGACTTTTATTTGGCAGTAAGGTAAAGAGAAAAAAATAGTACAAATATACTTAGTTTGAGTAGTTTATAGAAAACTAAAGCATGACTTATTAGTTATTACAAAGTATTATATTAATTAGTTTTTATTTTTTAATTGACATGTAATGGTGGGTAATTGTATTATTCAGGGGAAAAAATGCATTTCACATAATAATGCTGTAGCTCTGTACTCCTTAAAAAGTTGTTACAACTGACAAGTAATGTTAGAGTAATGATAGAAATAGTAAAAAGTGTAACTTTATAGGAAGTCTTGAAGTATAATTTATTAAATATTCAAATATATTTTGCAAGTTAAAAATAAAATATTTATTTTACAAAGTGCTAAACTGTTTAAAAATAATACTAGTGTGTTTATAATAATAGTATTATTTTACAATTATATCGTTATTATTAACTATTACACGTAATTTATACTATATTATTTGATCTATCAATATGATAGACTATCATTTAAAATATTACATAATATGGAAAAAACAAAATCGTCATTATAATAGAATCGTAATGATTTTTCTCATATTATGATTGATAATGTTTAATTCAACTCATTTGTTCATAATTTTTTTATATTTGTTATAAGCTGAGAACATGGAGAAAATTATCAATAATTGTATTGATATTATAATATATAATATATATCACTATATATCACTCATACGTTATTTGTAAAAAAAATACGATACAAAAGAAGAAGTACTTATTACATTTAAAATAAACTATTTTGAGTTACTTTTATTGTGAAAAATGCAATACGTGTGAAATGTGAATGCATGTTGATTGTTCGCATTGTGTAACCTAGATACTTTCTACAAAAATATTTTTTTTAAACTTATCCCATAATATATACTTATATTGTTGGTATTTTTACTACTTATTTGTTTCTCACTGAAAAACAATAGATAATTCATTACAGTGAGGTATATATTTTAGTGAATAAATAAATAAAGCCATTGCCTGCGTTAATATTTCAATACCACATCATATAGAATTTACTTGTATTTTTCACCGCATATTAATAAATTATTAGGTTATATTACAACCGGGACAAAAATTTTAATACAACATACCTATAAGTTTAAAAAAAATAACGGTTTTTTTTTCAAAAGATCTAAAAACCATAATAGACAAGGATACAAATGGAAATTGTTGACATTTTGAAGAAACAAAATAAACATAAACTATTTTAAATACGATCGACGGAGGCTTTTTAATTTAACAAATATAAAATACCACCATACAGAACATTTAGGTTTAGTTAGGTAACATTTTTAATGAACTCGGTTGTAAACTGACAAGGCTTTTACAAACTAAATATTTTAGTCTACCAAAGTACTTTATTATTATGGAAATAATTAAATTAATAATCATGAAGATTAATGGTAAATTTGATACATTATCATATAGTTTTAATAGTAACAATAACTAACATGTATGATAATTTATATTGAGTAATAATACAATTTGGACATGAAACAAACATCGTGGGAGTTTGGGTTTTTTCCTTCCTCTGAATAGATGTTATTATGATTGTATCAAATAAAAAAGTATTTACAAGTCATCTAATTTGGAAAAAAATACTTAGTGGTTATCCGTAAAACCACGCAAAATAAAGTGTAATTAAAACTGTTTGACATTTAAATTGGACCATATGAAACTATGGAGAAAATATGAAAAATAAAATTTTATAAAGTCCCAAATATGTGAACAAAAGGGCAACTAGACCTAAAAATATATATCGGGAGTTTCGAATGAGAATAACGAAAATCATATTTGCACCAAAAAATAAGTTCTGTTATTCAGAATATTATCTTTAAGTCAATACACAATTATTGTTTGCACGTATTTTCCTACATATTCTATAATTGTATTTTAATTTAAACTTGATCTACGAATTAGTATAATATTATTAAGTAATAGTGGTAACTGGTAACTAACTTCTATATAGGAAAGCCATCAATTCAATTTTACTACAAATCCTATGGCAATAAACTTCCACCGTTGTAAAGATAATGGCAATCTAATTCTGCTCATTGTAATTTATTTATATTTTGTAATGATACTTTGTACATACAAAAAACATATTTACGCATGTAACATAAAATACTATTATTCTTGTTATTTAAACTTTTATTTTTTTTTTCTTGCTAAAAAATTATTGGTTTATGACTGCAGGCCTAATTACCTACGAGAATACTGAAGAATATAATTTTATTCCCCCAATGACCAATTATTTTTGCATCGTTTTGTTAATCTGTACAAATGCACATTGCATATAACTACATTTTAATTATATATTTTATTTTCGTAGAATGATTTTATTCCTGCTAAAAAATACAATGATAAAAGTATACTACCATTACACAATAATAAAAGCTTTTTCCTCGGTCACATCTCAGTCCGTAGAAGTAAACTACGGCTGTCTATTTTATTTCAAATATACTGTTTCTTTAAAGTTAGTACAAAAAGTTATAACACTATTTTTACTAACCTTTTTTTTCGATTTTCTTACTATTTAATATATTATGTAGGTAGTAATCATTTTTGATATTATTGTATACGTGTCACTTAATACCGTATACATATGTATTTTAATTTTAGCAGAAAGTCTTATTTATAGCGAGACGAATGGAAATAAGTTCCTAATGATTAAAAACTAACGTAAACATTGTATTTGATTTATTTATAAAATACATTAAAGTTATATATTAGAAGTATTATTTTGACTGTGCATGGAAGTATTTAAAGTTTATTTTAAAAATTTAAAATTATGGCAAGGAAAATGATTTTTGTTTACAGTTAATTTATTTATTAGAATCGTATTGTATAGAGTTAATTATTTTTGAATAAACAATTTCAATTAATTTGTTACTTCAAATATTTAAGAAAACGTGCAACTTTTAATTTGACGTTCATTCAACTTATATTAAGTATTTAAGTTTAAGGTATTTAGTATACATTTTTTGCTTGTTTATCTACAGGCTTTGATAATATACAAAGGCGAACACAAGGTGGAAGAGACGTCTTCTCATAAAATAACTACACAAAAGCTGAAGTTCAATAGTAAACAAAAACATTCTGATCCGTCGTATGAAAGTATAAGTGACAACAAAGAAAGCGCAGAGCTCCAGGTACAGAAAATGATGCATTATTACATTTAATAATACAATAAACGTTATTGTCGTTTAAAGTTTAAACGTAATAATTATTTAAAATAGTTATTTGTTAGTTTTATTAATAACGATTTTCTTAACTTCAATTTCATTTGTTAACAAGTGTATAATTCATGAATTATTATTATTAATACAACGAGATAAATGTGAGACTTGGGTTTAATATAATACTCATTAACCATGCATAGACAATTTGAATCAACTGACGATGAACACGTTTGGAGTTGAAATAGTGGCCTGCCCTAATATTTTCTAACTTACTGGTTAAATTGGTTAGCCCCTGCAATATCAGACCAAATAATATAATATGTAGCCGATAACTTTTTAACCTAAAGAGCTAATGAAAATAATTATGCCACATCTTCTTTTTCTATAATGCAGAGATTCCAGGTCTTACCGGAAGTTTTTTTTTATCCGTTTTCCCAGTTTTAAAATCAGTTTTCGTTTATATTTTTATTATTGGTGTAAAATATTTTTAGACCAAACCAACATAACTTTTTTCGGTCATCAAGAATAATTGTCTTTTAAAGAATGGACATTTTTAAAAATAATTGTCACAATTATGAAATAATACAAAAAACAAACTCGAATTATGTTATTTTTATAATGTTATTCGGTGTACAAAATATATTGTGTTGTTTAAAGAGCCTCGATACGGCTATTATTTAAGGGGCAACATTCAAGCAATTTGTAATCTCGTCTTTGCCGCCCGGGATCTATTATATGTTAGTTGTAAATAATAATTATTAAATTAGATTAAGTGAAATTCAATCTGGGTACCACTCTCATCCTCGCATGCAGGTATCAAGTACTCGATAACAGTATAAAATTCACTAAACGAATTTTAAGACAACTTACTAATTATTGTTTTGACAAAATTAAAGTTAATTAAGGTATTGTCTGATTTTGATTCTGAAAAAAAAAAATTGAATTCAACAGAAAAATATCCGTACATAGTACCAAACACTTTCCGTTTTAATTTTGATTTGAAAAAGTTCATATTTTCTAGTTTTCAATTATTACAGTTCACAATAATATAAGATTCAATTTTTAGAAAGTGTTAAGTACGATCTATAGACAATTTTCTGTCGATTTCAATTTTTTTTTCAGAATCAAAATTGAACAACTTAAGCTAATTTTAATGTTTTCAAAATTCACTAAAACTTTAACCGGTAATAGCGGTAATTTTTACTTCAACAGAAAAGATTATTTTAATATTTTATAACCGTAATTATTATCATCGCATTTAATTATACCTAATTGCATAATTTACTCTCCCGATATTATAGTGTACATAAGCTGTAAAAGTATTATTTTAAGGATTTTAATGATTTAACTTCACGAATTATGAGTATCTCTGGAAAATATTATATAAAGGTTAGGTGTTGTACTGTATTCATTATACTTGTTGTTCTTAAAACAGATCTCATTAAATTATTTTATTTTATTTTATTTTAATGCGTAGTTGTGCATACTTATATTTTAATTAGCTAGAAATCGTAATATAAATTTTGCCATAAATTTGACCAACCATTTCTTGTGAATTCAATTTGCCAACTTTAATAATTTATTTATTTTCCAGTAAATATTACCTAGATTGGCAATACTTCATAATTCTGTTAATTCCATTCAAATAATTTAATTTAATTATTTTTATCATCATTATTATTAATTATTTGTAAGTGTTGTGTATACCATATACTATATGTAGTGCATGTATGCAATATATTAAGTACAAACGAAAACCGTTTAATTTGTTCTGAAATATATGCTGAACTGTGTTAATTATGTTCATAATATTATGCTTACAGGAAATTCGAATCCTAAGAACCACCATAGAGAACCTTATAGAAGAGTTTCTCAAGTGTGGACCAGCATATTCTGACTATGTGTTAAAACTACAGGCCATGTTGGAAGTGATGAAGAACTCTAAGTTGGGCGAAAGTGAAGAATTACAGCAGAAATTGGCATTGAGCAATGGCTGCGTTATCAAAGTGGACAGTAATAAAGATGTTTCGTGTACAAAAAAAAATTAGGTTACATTTTAAATTTATTGAGATGGTAATTATTTTAACCATGTCATTGGAGTTAAATAGTGGCTCAATGCATCGGCTAGTGATTTTCCGTCTTTGTATCTGTGAAATATTTTCATTTGTGATCTTAAGTTTCTATTTTTTATTCAAGCAGCATTTGATTTCACTGGTTAGTTATTTCATATTCTAATATTTATTAGATTTTTGAAGTCTTAGTGATGACAATTGACCTGCTGCAGGTAGCAAATGATAATATTATGTGAACAATTCACGTACCTACATGAAGATATATATTTATTTTTTGTGACCAGGTGTAAAATATAAAAAAAATACTTGAAATATCAGATTAAAGTTTAGTCATAACACATTACATACTATATACTCTGTTCAGCAAGAGAACGTATCGCATCTATACAAACACCTGAGTCACCCATGCTACTGAAATCGGTTTCCCTATATGGCAGGGTTCACGTTGTGATGAGGAGAAGAACCGATTTTAGTCGGCACATGGTGTGTTCTCTAGTTGTACAGAGTATATAATATGAGTATTGAATTTTAGTTAGGTACCTATTTAATGCAATAAATGATAGTACGGTGAAAATCGTTCTATAAAAACAATTTATTCGATAATTAAAATATGCCTAGTATTATCATAGCTTTGTTTTGTTTCGTATTAGGAAATTTGTGTTATTTTAATGTTATATATTATTGTTATTAATTTATAAGACACTACTTATTTCTAGTACCTACCTATACTTTTTTCATAATAATAACTATTGTTATTTGTTATTTAATTAATTTACAGTTAGACGTTTATTTATTTGACTTATATTAATATGGAATAAATAATATGTATACTTTCCTTCCAATTTTTTTTTTTTTTTATTACGGTTAAGACTTCAACTACTTCAACCACTGTGGGGGGAGGATACTGTAGATTTGCTTACACGTGCGTGTTTCCTTCTAAAATACAAACCTTAAAAATGATAATATATATAGGTATGTTATATTGTATTATACTAATTTGTAGTCGCAAGATGCAATAACTTAACCTGCATTGACATAATGACACTTTTGTAAGTTAGGAATTTAATATTATTATTTTAATTTTGGTATACAAATTTGTATAATTTGTCAGCAACAAATACATAAAGTTAATTTATCGGAAAGAAATCTTATCTTCATATTCAGAATATTAAAAGCGATTCTCTCACCTGGTACTTTATCACTGTCGTAAACATCATGATAATATAGACACACATTTCTTACAAATTTAATGTTTTACCTATTATATAATATCTATAATACCTACATTAAATCATAAAATTGATAAAATCATTATTAATTTACTTAAAAAGTTCAAAAGTAACCAATAGATGGTTTTAAAATTGTATAACAAAATAAAGCGCTGTTTAATTTTTAACTTAACTTCTAAATGGTTCATGATACGTTTAACGAAATTACAAATGTGTATAATGAACCAGTGATTTTCCATGTAATAATTTTCACAATCAGGTAATCATTTTATTGTAACTTTTTATTTATTAGGGTCACGATAATTTCAAATAAGCTACTATTTATAATACGACTAATTTTAATACAAGATAAATATTATATAGGTAGTAGGTACCTTTATTTTGTTTGATACTGGTGAGATAATTATTACTGAAATTGAAAGCCAATATTAAATATTTATGATAGGTCGACCTTATTTTATAGAATTTCATATTTGTCCAACCACTGATCTTTTAAGTATTCTAAAATGCTTTTATAAACAGTATTTTATATAAATTATAATCGATAATTTAATATCATAAATTATAACGTAAAGTATATTAATTGTTACTTGTATTTTGGCAAGTTGTACGTAGGTACTACATAATTTCCGTAATAAACTAATGTATTTTATTATTTTTTGATGTACATTTCAATCAAATCGTGTTTACATATCCTTAATAATTCGTCTCTTTCTTTTACAACCCTGTTATCGTGACATAGTGACAAATTACAATATCATATAAAAAAATATTTTTCATTTGAAACTTTTTTTAAAATCCATAATACATTTTTTATTACTCAACGCAAGTTTAACCGATATATTATTTAAAAATAACAATATAGGTTTATCATTTACACACGTACCTATATACTATAACAATAACACGTCATAGTATAGGCCCCTAAAACGATTAAAGACTATACTGAATAATGAGAGACATTGTTTCATTGTGCATTTGATGAGTGGTTGTGCTGATTTTCCGTAATATTTGTCCCACAAATTCAACACACACACACACACACACACATACCTCTTATGGTATTTGCACTAGCCTTATTCGAAATTAATCTGAGCACTGCGCCGCACATAAAACGTAGCTCGATAATGTGACACGGATCCGAAACAATGACAGTAATCCTCGTCCAGAATTTTTTTTTTTTTTGGGGGGGGGAGGGGGATAATAATTTATCAGAAATGATCGGAAAACAATTTGCCGAAATAAAACTTCATCGGGGTGACGCGAATAATGTCGCAATAATAATACGGTCAACACCCCGGTTTATGGTATTTGGTATCCTCGTGCGTCGAGCGCATTACGCCCCCGCTGGATCGTCGTGAGAGTTGTTCGTATAAAATAATTTGACGGCAACTACTGCACCGTGGAAACGTCGCCGGGACACGATTCACGCAAAAGGCCCGTTAGTTTTAAGTATGAATAAACGTCTTGAACGTAATTTGTAACGAAACACATTGCAGCTCGTCATTATAATATATACGATACAATAGTATCGTTGTCACTGCACGGTATTCCTATTTTCTTTTTTTTTTTTTGTTTTCCCGGGACACAAACGACTACATGATACAACTCGACGTGTTTGCCGCTGTAATTAACACGCGATCGCAGACGTCGGTCGGTTTGATTGAAAATAAAACTGCATCGGACGCTTGGAGAAATCACAACGACGTGTCAATGTCAATTTTCCCCTCTATTTATTTCCTCCGGCGGTAATCTATTTTCGGTCAGTGGCAATACGGTCTCTGATGTATTATACGTGGTGTGCGTATTATCATTATATGTATATATGATATAACATCGTGATAGACGTGCGTGTCGAGTACCTGCCCACCTACAACAACTACGATCGAATAATTGACTTTGGTTGTTTCCCATAGTATTTATTACCCATATTATTTCTCCGATACTATTCTGATTATCCTCAACATTAGAAAATATTTCCCACTGACATATTTTCATGATAATGAAATTTGCTTATCTTGATGATTTCCAATATTATTCGGAACATTTTTTTTATCATTCCATTAGTTTTCCACTCATTTTTTCCCCCTCAAATTCAATTAGGTTCTTGCCCCGCTCTCAGGGTTAACAATTTCATGTAACAGCATCCAACCCGGTCCAAATGTCAAATTCAGAAACAGCTGTACAAAATAAACTGAATAGATAATTTTTATAATAATAACTTTAGCGTTTTACGTTTTGTATTCATTTTTAAAATACTATTGCTCTAAGGTATTCCAAATTCAAATATAATAATCTATTTTTGTATTATGAGGTTAGCTTGTTTAAAAGAGGTGATCGATTATCGAAGATTACGTTGTTCAAAAGTTTGAGTTGTGAATATTGTCAGTCCTTACATGAAGTATTTAATAATCTTCTATCACAAATAATATGGTAATGGAAATAAATTATTTCAACGCAATCACAATAATTCTTTAATATCATATAAAGCCATTGTTTTTCACCGATAACACTTTCGTACAATATATATATATTTTATTAAATCGACGTTTTGTCAACAAGCCAATAAACATGTAAAACATGTACCTGCAGATACCCATTCAAATCAACAATAAATTAATAATATTTATTATAAGTCTTAGACGTAGGTCTGTTTCAAATAATACCTATAATACTGACCAACAATGACGAAATTAGTTATTTGTCCGATTGGTTTTCGTTGTTTCTCTAACATTCGTTCTTTTGTTTGTTCGGAGTGTATAGACTATATGGACATTTCGCGAGCATTCAAACTGAAAACTCAGTAAGTACAAAAAGAAAAGGGAAAAAAACAAAATAAAAAACAAAAATTGACAATAGTTTTATATTTTATTTTCCGGTTTTTTACTTTGTAAAAGGTGACATTTCACGCACGGAATACTACTTAAGTACCGTAATCGAGATAGAAAATTGAAACAAAAAAAAATTTTTTATATCTTATTGGTATTTTGTGAAGGTATCTGAAAAAAAGATAGAATGGTTTTGTCTACAGGCGTATTCATACAGTCGTGTCTTGCTCGTACAATACATTTTAATATTTTATGTCTATACGTGAAAAAAATAATATTATTGTAAGACGTATTCCAAAAAATCCTATATTTTGTAATTTATATTTGTAATTATAATTGTAATTATTATTATAATATTTATTATTACAAAACTGTCGTGTAAATTACTTATTTTAACTAGGGTATAGTATTGCACATAGATGATAATTAAATATAATAATATATAATATTTTAAAATGATTTTTTTTTAATGTATTGAATAAAATTGTAGTAGGTATATTTAGTATTTACAACTATAATATGTACTTTATCCAATGGATATTATCCAGGAATGAAAAGACAATGGTTTTAAATTGTTTGTAACAAATTTAAATTACAAATGCTGGTTGTGTTTTATAGAAGTTTAGAAAACTATTAAAATTCAGTTTCCTAAGAAATTATATTGTTATATTATATTCTCTTAATAAACTATATTATTGTAATTTACAAAATATTTTGTACTTATTGGAAAAAAAAAAGTATTTTGACGAATCTATTTAATTGTCTGTATTGTTAATTTAATAAGCTGTAATATAATATGTAATAATTTTGAAGAAGTAAATTAATAAAACATTAAAAATAAAATTCTAATACAATGTTCAATATTGTAGCTACTTACGAGAACCACCTTATCAGATGTCAGATGAACATAATAGTATCT